GGGAGGAAGTGGGAGGGGAGCTGTTGCACTGTGGTAAACTGTGGTCAGTGTCATGAGACAAAGTATACGTGAACTGCTGCTCTGTAACTCTTCACCCAAATCACATTAAAAAAAAACTTAAAAAAAGAACTACCTAAAGTAACCCAGTCTGAGACAGAATTCCTCAACAGACCTATAACAAAAGAAGAAATTGAGCAGTTTATTAAAAAAAAAAAAAAATCTTGACCAAAAAAAATGGCCTGGCCCAGACAGCTTCACCGGAGAATTCTATCAAATGTTCAGAGAAGAACTGACACCTCTACTACTCAAACAATTCTAGAATATAGAAAAGAATGCAATACACCCAAATTCATTCTATGAACCAAGCATAACACTGATATGAAAAGAAGGTAAAGACACCACTAAAAAGGAAAACTACACACAGATATCCCTCATGAATATAGACAGACAAAATCTTCAATAAAATCGCAGCCTACAGAATCCAACATCATATTAGAAACATAATATACCATGACCAAGTGGGATTCATACCCACTTGCAAGCATGGTTTGACATCAGAAAAACAATCAGTGTGATCCATCACATAAATAAAACAAAAGAAAAGAACCGTATGATCATATCAATTGATGTAGAAAAGGCATTTGACAAAATCTGCCACTCATTCCTGTTTAGAACTCTCAGCAAAACAGAAATAGAAGGAAAAATCCTCAATATAATAAAGGGTACATACACAAAACCAACAGCCCGTATTATTCTCAATGGAGAAAGAGTCAAAGCATCCCCTTTGTGAACAGGAACCAGAGAAAGATGCTCTCTATCACCACTTCCATTCAACTCTGTATTGGGTCCTAGCCAAGCAAATAAGAAAGAGAAATAAAACGTATCCAAATTAGCAAAGAAGTAAAGCTATCTGTATTCACAGATGACATGATCCTATTTGTAGAAAAACCATAAGACTCAGCAAAAAATTACTTGAATTAACAGAAACATTCAGCAAAGTAGCAGGATACAAGGTCAACATACAAATATGAGTTGGATTCCTCTACATCAAAAGACCAAACCCAACCAAACCCACTGCTGTAGAGTTGTATCCAACTCGTACTGACCCCTCCTTGGGCTTCTGAGGCAGTATCACTACGGAAGTAGATTGCCCAACCTTTCTTCCGAGGAGTGGTTGATACAGGTTTGAACCACCAGCCTTCTGGCTAGCAGTTAAATGCCTTAGGCACTACACTACCAGAGTTCCTTACATTATCAACAGAGACCACTGAAAAGAAAATAAGGAAATCAGTACCATTTACAACAGCTACCAAAAAAATAAAATACTTGGGAATCAATCTGACCAGGGACACAAAAGACATATACAAAGAAAACTACAAAACACTACTACAAGAGACCTACGTAAATGGAAGAACATATCATATTCATGAATTGGAAGACTGAATATTGTGAAAATGTCAATACTACCCAAATCAATCTATACATTCAATGCAATCCTGATCCAGATTCCTTCAGCATTCTTTAGGGACATGGAAAAACCAATCATCAAATTCATATGAAAAGGAAAGAGACCTCAGATAAGCAAAGCACTACTGAGGAAGAAAAATAAAGTAAGAAGTATCACACTCCCAGATCTCAAAACCTACTATACAGCCACAGTAGTCAAAACAGCATGGTACTCGTACAATGATAGACAAACAGACCAATGGAACAGAATTGAATACCCACAGACCCATCTAACTATGGATATGATCTTTGACAAAGGGCCAAAACCCATTTATAGAGGACATAGCCTCTTTAACAACTAGTGCTGGCAAAATTGGATATCCACTTGCAGAAAAATGAAACAAGACCCATACCTCACACCATACGCAAAAACGAACTCATGCTGGTTCAAAAACTTAAATGTAAAACCCAAAACTATAAATTTCATCAAAAATAAAATAGAGGACAAACTAGGAGGTCTAATTTACAGCATAAATAGACTACAAAGCATAACCCCAAATGTACAAGCAGCAGAAGAGAAACTAGATGACTGGGACTTTTGAAAATTAAATTGTTATGTGCATTAAAACACTTCTCTAAAAAGGTAAAAAGAGAACCCATAGACGGCGAAAAAATATATGGCCTTGGCCTACCTGATACCTCAACACCAAAAAGATGAACAATCCAATTTAAAAATAGGCAAAGGACATGAATAGACACTTCACTGAAGAAAATATACAGGTGGCCAACAAACACATGAGGAAATGTGCACAACCACTAGCTATTAGAGAGATGCAAATAAAAACAACAACGAGTTATCATATCACCCCAGCAGTAATAGTAAGGTTAGTAAGACAGAAAGCAACAAATGCTGGTGAGGGTGCAGAGAGACTGGAACTTTCAAACATTGCTGGTAGGACTGTAAAACGATATAGGCACTGTGGAAAATGGTGTGGCATTTCCTTAAAAAATTGAAAATAGAAATACCGTTTGATCCAACAATTCCATTACTAGGAATATATCCTAAAGAGGTGAGAAATAGGACACAAATTGACATATGCACACCCAGGTTCACTGCAGAACAAT